GATTCCTTGGCTCAGTGGAAAGAGATTTTTGTCCATCAAGTATTAGGAAACTAGTTTGAATCTCAACTGTGTAAATGTGTTAAGTACCAGCCAAAAACTTCTGGAGATCAGTTGAGGAAAAACTCCTCCATGAGCACAAGCCAGGCTCCTTGATGTTAAATCAGATTTGCTTCTGAAAGGGTTGGCATGTTTGATATGATTAGGAAGTATCAGTTGTGCTGATTATAAATTAAAAATTTTTTAAAAACAGATTGATCTGGAAAATAAGAAACATAAGGCCATATTGCTGTGCTCTACTCTTTGCAATGATGCTTTAAAAGTGATGGAAATGGGAATTATTTATTGTTGGAATCCCAACTAGGTTACTGTATAAGGATTTGCATGCTATCATCATTGTATTAAGGTGCCAAAATCAGTTACAGGAGTGAAGAGAGAAAAACATCAACATAACTTTACTTGGTATGTATTTAGTATGCATTTTTCTTTTATTTTCAAAAATGGTTCATGAGTGTGAGTGAATTTGGAGGCTGGGAGAAGATCAAATTAGGTAGGCAGATAGCCCACAATTTGTTGAAAGGAATGAAATTATCCCATATCTTTTAAAGAAAATTTATTGTATTTTTGACTCTCTTCTCATTTATCGTCTCTCATTCCCATTCCAGCCATTTACTTTCTCTCTTTTGGACACAGTGGGCCAGTGAGGGCTAATCATTAAAGTTGTTTCTAGAGAAAGTAGATTTGGGAAATGTTTAGAAGATCTAGAAGATAGTGGGGCCGGGTATATTCGCTTATGCCTGTAATTCTAACACTTTGGGAGGCTGAGGCTGGATCACTTGAGAGCAGGAGTTCAAGACCAGTGTGGCTAACATGAAAAAACCCCATCTCTACTACAAATACAAAAATTAGCTGGGCCCGGTGGCACACACCTGTAATCCCAGCTGTTCAGGAGGCTGAGGCATCACTGTACTGCAGCCTGGGCAACAGAGTGAGACTCTGTCTTAAAAAAAAAAAAAAAAAAAAGAAAGAAAAAGGAAAAGGAAAGAAAGAAATAGGGGAGCAGGGGGAAACAAACAGAGGTATATTTTTAGCCCCCAAATCACAATTCCTTTTCTCCCACAGACTTCTGTTTCAAACCATGTATTATTAAGATGCAAAGAAGCAATACCTTGATAATGTGCACATATTTTAATTAGTGATTAATCTTAACTTTATTATGGCAAGGTTTGTAATCTATTATTTGGCATATATATGGTGCTAAGTAGGTGAAGGCATTCATAGCAAATCTCCTATTGCCAAATAACTGAAGTTTCTTCCTTATTGAAAATGCTCATTTTTAAATGGGAGAATTGTTACAATTATGTCTACCATCTTAGCTCATAATCTTCCTGGAAATACAGAAAATACCAGGTGACTACATAGAAACTCTAGGTCTAAAACCAGCCATGACTTACTTTTTTCCCACCTTCTCCCTCTCAAGAATGTTGAACAATAATTAGATAAACCTTGTGAACTGTTTCCTTTTATCAGTAAGTAGAGTTTATTTTATAACCTCAATTAATATATTTAGATCCACAGACATGCCCCACACCCAAAAGGCAACTCTGTTTTCCTCTGGAAATGCTTCCTGTCTCTATAGAGTATAATTTAAGGTATTTAAATCAAATTGGGAATTTCTGAATCCAGAAAACCATACTTTGCAAAAGCATATAAGCCTAAAGATGAGCAAGACTTCAGTGCTACTATGTAAAGCTATCATACTGCTACCATCTGAATACAACCAAAATTGGGGTGCATCTGCACCTAGAAACACTGTCCAGAAATAAAATCTAAAATCATAACTAGAATTTAATATATTCATTCAATAAATTTTTTACCAAGTGTCTACTGTATTTAACAACCCCCTCCAATTTTTTTTTTTATTATGCCATTCACTATTCTACAAGCTGTGGATACAGTAGCAAGTAAAGCAGACAAAAATCCTTACCTTACATTCTAGTTTTTAGAAGAGATGCTAGGAACACAGCAGTGAGTAAGATAAAATGAATCCCATACCGCTATGAAGCTGAAAGTCTAATAGAGATGATGGCTAAAAAGCAAGTAAACACATACGTACATAGATACATCCATAAATACATAAAGCAGATAAATAAAGATGAATATATGAAACAAAGACAATATGGTAGAGGCCTAAAAGAAACTGACATGGATAATCTAGATTACATGCAAATATAAGTCTTTCTGGAAAAGAAAGAATAAGACTTTTGAAATCTGTTTGCCACTTTCTCCCAGGCCTATGATGAACTTTTCAAAAAAAAAATACCATGAAATGTAATTCTATCTCATTATTTTGCCAGAATAAAATGAACCCAGTTCATTAGTATTTGAAAGGGATGAATAAATTTTCTAAGAATATTTTAATGTCCTTTCTTTATAATAAAATAAAAACAATGTATGTGAATATTAAGATAGCATTTATTCAAATAAGGTAGAGGGTTAAAGTAATTATTTAAATGCTTCAGGAAATAAATAGCGATTGAAGAAGCAAGTATAATTAAAGTCTTGGAATTGAAAGATTCAGATTATTGGTCTATATTAGTCACATACGTCAAATAAATTTTTAATTATGTATTTCATATTACTGATGTATGTGCAAATAAAATACTTTTGAAACACTATATGAAATACTTTTACAAAATCAGGAGTCTTGATACAGGTGCTCTTTCCAGGGTTCTGATTGTATTTTCATCTATAATGTTATCTCTGAAATAGTGACATTCACCTATATTGTTAAACTAATTAAAATCTATTATAAATTAAATATAGTGAACCATTTAGAAAATACCATAAATTTTAAAATTGAGAAGATGGTTGGTCATTTTCTCATTCTATTTAGTTACTTTCACTGTTATTGAGAGTGGCAGGAGTCAGCCAAATATCTAGGCAGATAGGAGTGAGTACCTGGAGAAATGCTGCCTTTAAGCCAAAAACAGCCTGAATGCTGAAAGATCAGACTGCTCGCCCCAGATGAAACCTGTGACCCAGAGTGAGAATTTCTGTTACTGTTTGCCTGCCCTGTCCCAGTTGATTCTTTCTGAATAATGCCTTTTAACCAATCAAATGTTGCCTTTTCCAATACTAACTATGGCCTACCCCTCCCCTATTCTGAGCCTGTAAAAAGCCCTGGACTCAGCCATATTAAGGAGACTCTTCCACCTTCAGATAGGGGGCCACCCTTGAGTCCTCTCTCCATGGAAAGCTGTTTCATCACTCAGTAGAATTCCCCACCTTGCTCATGCTTTGATTGTCAGTGCATCCTCATTCTTCTTGGGCATGGAACAAGAACTCTGAAACCAGTGCACAAGCCAGACTCAGCCCAGGTGGGCTAAGCAGGCAGCTGTCTCCTGCAGCAGGTAGCATGGATGAGTGAGGCCCAGGCAAGGTATTGCCTCCCAAAGATCAGCTTACAAAGTGACTGAGAAGAAAATCCTACATCATTGTGATTTTTCTTTATGTTATATTGTTAAAAATGCAAACAATATACAGGATATATTGATTCATATCATTTCCAGTTGTTCGGTAGTAGAGTTATGTTGAAATATTGTAAATCATTCCATATTATACTTAATAACAGCAATAAAATTTTAAAAGTTAATAAAAAATTCAGTAAAATACATAGAAACTTAAAATGCTCTTTGTTCAAGAATTAGACCATAACTTCCAGCAGAATTGCAAATTTGTTTCATTACCTGAATGTCAGTTTGACACACAATAAAAATTATTGTTTTCATTGGATTATAAAGAGAAGTAAACAAGCTGATAAAAGATAAAACAGAATAATACTTTACATCAAAGCAAATAATTTCAAACTATATTTGCATTGCTTTTCTATCATCAAATTTGGTAATATCCATCTGTTTTAGTATTTTTGAGCTGTATAGATCCTATACTACTCCTGTTTTCCTTCCTGTTTAATTGACATTTTTAAAAGCTTACGTGTGGACTTTTACTAGAATATTATTCTTTCCATCTTCATAACCAATTGCTAAATAAAGGTATATTTCTCTATCATCCAATGCCTTAATTTTCTAGTATTAATAAATTTTCTAGTAGATAAAATGAATATATATATTTGTGTGTATATAATCATAACTTGATAATTAACATGAAAATGTTAATAAAGTATACATTTAAAATAGAACACAGGCAACATCATCCTCATACACAAACTATGTATATTTTCCTTCTACAGTATATATCAGGTGTTTTTTCTGCTCTAAGAAAAAGATAAGAATTAACACTAAGTTCTTATTTTTAAAGGAAATGCTGTAATATGTTGTTATATTAACGAAGGAAGTGGCAGTAGTAGCAGGCTTTACTAAGGCCTTGGTAGCAGTAGCACTTGATTTTGAGTCTTCATTTTGACACCTGCTATCTATATGACTTTTCTTTTGCTCCTAGGTTTATCAATTCTAAAAATTTGACCTTGGGATTCAGGCTTGGTGGACCAGCAAATGAAGTCAGGAGAATTGTTATGAATCAGGGAGAGTTGGGAGAATGGTGGTTCCCATCATGATAAAGAGCAGTTGCAATAAAAGAAACTGGAATAAATGAAAATTAACCAAAAATTAAACATATATTAGATTTTTTACTTTGCTGGCTCAAGAAATCAATATTTGCATGTATCCAAGTATCACATATTTTTAAAAACTTAAACGGAGAGAATATATTAATTTATTCATTAAAGTTTTCCTTAAATGATTCTCCTCTTACATCTTAATTTCCATGCCCTTCATCTCTAACTATAGTTGATTATCAAAGAGCACATGCTTCATACTCTACTGAAGGGACAACACAAGATAGCAGTAGTGTTATTTACCGTTCGTTAACATTTCACTGTTTTGAATTAATGTTCCATTACCTGAGATATCTTAGTACACATTTTAGAGCTGATCTCTATATAATGAAACATTCAATTGTAATGGAAACCTCTTTTTCTGCAGACTTTACAAAAAACTTCTACACCAAAGCTGAACCAAAGATGAAATCATTACATGCTGGCATCGTGAAAACACCTATATTATAAGGTAGGCACTTCCAATGAAAACATTTGTCTTGTCAAAGAGCACCTAATAATACCTAGTAAAGATTACGTGATAAGTAAGTGTCCTAGTTTTCCATTCACAAAGGAAATTTACATGGAATAGATTTAATATTTTAGTTATGATTAGACACCTTCCTTAATACTTAAAATTGCCACACAATTTCTTTAATCTGTTTTCATTTAAAAAACACATACACTGTCAATTTCACATAGGGAGTGTTCCTGTGAGTTTATTTGTAGTATAATCCAACATAATGTTAAATAATTTTCTGCTTGCTATAATTTTCATTATTTTTGGGTTTATTAAACATCTTTGTTTTGCTCCTTCTAGCATCCTATAATGATACCTGATTATCCCTGATGTAAAATAATATTGTGCTAATAACCATATTATTTTCAGATTCTTTTAGTAGCAAGCAACAGAAACTCAATTAGAACCAGCTAAAGCAAAAAGCAGGAAAGTCAGCAAATCAATGGAAGGGCAGGGATATATCAATAGTCTGGCTCTCTGTTGCCTCTCATGCCCTCTGTGAATCAGCTTTAATCTCTTTTAGTCACTGGTATGATTGCCTGAGCCAAAAATATAGCTGTTTTATATAATAAAGTATTGTTTCACTTTAAATATATGTTGATATATGCCAGGAATGAGCATGCTTTATTTTATTCACAATTTTACGCAGAATGATTAACTATTTTAAAAATATTGCATCAGTAAAACAATTTGTGGTATGTGAATCTCAAATATAACAACATACCAGCCTGAATTGGAAACTGTATATTTATAGTGGGAAAAAAAGTAAATTAAAATTATGACTTTAAATAGCAGAAACAAATCTTAATATAATCATAATTATGATGCATTTAAATAGATTAAACTCAACAAAACAGATTCTCAGGTTACATTAACAAAACAACCAAGATCTAGCAAAAGATTCCCACAAAGGGGCCATACAAATTATATGCAGATTAATAACTGTAACTTTGTTACTAATCTGTGATGAAATAACTATAGAAATTGAGTTAAAATATATTAAATGTTACAGAAATTTGACAAAGTAATTCCATGTCTGTCCAAGCTAATAAAAAAAGTAGGCTTGTATTTTGAATGGCTTTATTTTCTTTTTTAGAAACCATATTTATTGCATTGTACAAAATGAAGATATAATAGAAATAGAATAAAAAATTTAGAAAACCTGGATTTTCCCACAGTTGGTTGAGAAGCGCTGGTATTTAAGGTACATACTTAAAGAATATCAAACAGTTGACAAGAATGAAAATGTGTCAGACAAATATCAGCCAACAGAAAGTTGGAGCAGTTAAATTTCTCACAAAATAGAATTCAAAGCAAAAAAAGTGTCATAAAGTACAAAATATGTTACTTACTGGTAAAAGAAACAATGGAGTAAAAGTAACATACTTTCACCTTACAATATTGTTTAAGTCTATGTAAAACAGTAATCTTATTTACAACAGTCACACACACACACACACAACTACACAGAAAAAACAAAAAAACTAGCAATACATCTAACAAAGATCTCTACAAGGGAAACTACAAAACAAAACACTGTTGAAAGAAATCATAGATGACACAAACAAATGAAAAAAACATTCCATGCTTATGGGTTGGAAGAATCAGTATTATTAAAACAGGCATACTGCCCAAAGTAATCTATAAATTAAATGCTATCCATTTCAAACTAATATCATTTTTCACAGCATTAGGAAAAATGATTTTAAAATTTATATGGAACCTAAAAAGGAACCAGAATAGCCAAGGCATACCTAAGCAAAAACAACAAAGTCCCAGGTATCACATTACCCAACTTCAAACTATACTATAAGGCTAAAGTAACCAAAACAGCATGGCACTATACAAAAACAGACACATAGACCAATGGAACAGAATAGAGAACCAAGAAATAAAGCTGCACACCCACAAACATCTGACCGTTGATGAAGTCAACAAAAATAAGCAATAGGGAAAGAACTTCCTGTTCAAAACATGGTGCTGGGATAGCTGGTTAGCCATGTACAGAAGAATAAAACTGAACCACTATCTGTCACAATACACAGAAATTAATATGAATTAAAGATTTAAATGTAAGAACTCAAACTCTATGAATCCTAAAAGAAAATCTAAGAAGCACCATTCTGGATATTGGCTTTAGGAAAGAATTTTTGACTAAGTCCTCAAAAGCAATTGCAACAAAACCAAAAATTGAGAAGTGGGACCAAACAGGTTTCTACAAAGCAAAAGAAACTATCAACAGAGGAAACAGACAACCTACAGAATGGTAGAAAATATTCATAAACTATGCATCCAACAAAGGTCTAATGTCCAAAATCTGTAAGGAACTTAATTCAACAGCAAATGACAAGGAACTCCTTTAAAAGGAAGGCAAAAGACATGAATGGACACTTCTCAAAAGAAGACACACAAGCTACCAACAAACATGAAAAAGTGCTCAACCTCATTAACTATTAGAGAAATGCGAATCAGAACCATCTCACACAAGTCAGATTAGCTATTACTAAAAATTCAAAGAACAGCAGATCCTGGCAAGGCTGTGGAGAAAAGAAATGCTTATACACTCTTGGTGGGAATGTAAATTAGTTCAGCCACTGTGGAAACCAATTTGGAGATTTCACAAAGAACTTAAAACAGAACTACTACTCAACCCAGGAATCCCATTACTGGGTATATATCCAAAAGAAAATAAGTCTTTTTGCCAGAAACACAGGTGTACTTGTATGTTCATCGCAGCACTGTCTACAATAGCAAAGACATGGAATCAACCAATGTGCTCATCAATGGTGAACTGGATAAAGAAAATGTGAGACATACACACCATGGAATACTACATAGCCACAAAAAAGAACAAAATCATGTCTTTTGCAGCAGTATGGATACACCTGGAGGCCATTATTGCAAGTGAATTAATGTAGGAACAGAAAACCAAATACCACATATTCTCACTTGTAGGTGGGAGCTACGGATTGGGTGCACGTGGATATAAAGGTAAACACTGGGGACTACCAGAGGGCAGAGGGAGGGGAAAGGGCAAGGGTTGAAAACCTAACTATTGGGTACTATGCTCACCATCTGGGTAGCAGGATCATTCACACCCCAAACCTCAGCATCATGCAATATACCCAGGAAACAAGCCTGCACATGTTTCTCCTAAATCTAAAATAAAAGTTGAAATTACACACAAAAACTTTTAAAACAAAATAAATTAGCAGAGAGACAAAAAGAATATGTAAATAAAAAAAAATTCAGGCAAATTAATAATTGTTATTGTTGATTTTAATGTATCCCTCTCAGAAAAAAATAGATAAATCCAAGAAAATACTAGGTTGGATATAGACAACCTAAATAATTCAATTAATAACATCAAAATATTATTTATTAAAAAATTTTCACTTAAAAATATATAGAATACATTTTCTTTTTGTGCAAATACAAAATATTTACAAAAATTGGTTCTGTACTTGGCCACAAAAGAAACTTCAATAAATTCCAGAGGAGATGAGGCATGGTGGCTCAGACCTCTAAACCCAACGCTTTGGGAGACCAGGTAGGAGGAATGCTTGAAACATAGGAGTTCAAAAGCAGCATGAGCAACATAGCAAGACCCCCCATTTCTACAGAAAAAAGCGTTTTTTTTTTGTTTTGTTTTGTTTTTTTTTAATTAGCCAATGAGTTTGTGTCCCTTGTAGAGACACGGATGAATCTGGAAACCATCATTCTCAGCAAACTGACACAAGAACAGAAAATCAAACACCGCATGTTCTTACTCATAGGTGGGTGTTGAACAATGTGAACATATGGACACAGGGAGGGGTGCATCACACAATGGGGTCTGTTGTGGGGGATTAGGGGAGGGACAGCGGCAGGTTGGGAGGCTAGGGAGGGATAACATGGGGAAAAATGCCAGATATAGGTGACAGGGGGATGGAGGCAGCAAACCACATTGCATGTAGGTACGTATGCAACGATCTTGCATGTTCTGCACGTGTACCCCAGAACCTAAAGTGCAATAATATATATATATATATATATATAGCAAAAGTTAGCAACCATTTTCAGAGTAATACATGCTCTCAAGGCTTTCCAGCATGCTATTACATGTAATAGTCTGAGATGAGAGAGATATATAAGAAAATAAATCAAAAATATATTGTGAATTTCTCTTTTAAATACATGATTTTACTAGACAATTAAAACCGAGTATGGAAGGTTGAAATGTTATGTCTAAAGTTTTCTAATGTCCATCAGTTCATTAAAAATAAATGTATATAAAGAAAAAAAAATTATCTGGGTGTGGTGGTATGTGCCTGTAAACCTAGCTACTCAGAAGGCTAAAGTGGATCACTGGAGTTTAGGAGTTCAAGGCTACTTGATCATACTAAACCTCAGTTTTGTTATTTGTAAAAGATGGAGAAAACGATGCCTACTCCATGATGTTCTTAACGAAAATTAAATGAGGCAAGCTATGATCTTGCCACTGCACCCCAGCCTGGACACAGAATAAGACCCCGTCTCTTAACAAAAATATACATATATATATTCCAGAGGATGAAATCATAGATAGTTTATGTTCTCTGAAGACAGTACTGTAGATCAATATAAAAAATTTAAGTAAAAGTTCTATATATATGACATATAAGTAATATATTTCTTTGCCTTTAAAAGTAAATACTAAAGAAAAAATAAAATATTTAGAATTAAATAGGAAAATCCCTACAATCCAAAATGTGTGGTACATATATAAAGTAGAAAAATTGGAAAGACAAAATAAAATGAAGCTAAGATTTCAACTCAAAAAGATTAAATGATAGTCACAGAGAAAAACAAAAAACCAGAAAAGAAAGAAATAATAACAATAAAAGAAAAATTAATAAATACAGAATTTAAAAAGTAATAGAGAATATTCATAAATCAGAAAGCTGAGACTTAAAGTTACCAACATGAACCTC